AAGAAAACGAAGACCCCAGTCCTCATGGAGCTTTAATTTTTGTGAGAGTGCTTGCATTCCAGTGCGGGAGTTTCCATTTTACTGTGAAACAGTGTTCAAAGGCTTATCCACATCTGAAACTCTGAGGTATAGGCACAATAATTATGGTGAGTGGATGTGCTGTAATCTTGTTTTCTTGATGATGGTAATTTGTTCAAGAAAACTGTTTTATCAGCAAAGAAGGCAGTGTTTAGTTTTGAACTCTCTTGTTCTCTTGAAACTATTTTAAGAATATGCTTATTTACATAGAATTATATTCATCCTTAAGGTTGAGTATTCACAAACTGATTAGCTGTTTTCTAATGTTTTCACTCTGGTGACTACCCTTTGGGTGGACAACCCTAAAATCATCTCTGAGGTTCTTAAAACTTAAAAGTCTTATCAATTCAGTGGTGATTAACGAGGAGTACTTTGTCAACTTAACCGTGTGGCTACACTGAGTTCTTTATCTATGTATTAGCACCTTGTCTTCAGTTTTGGTTTGTCAGCTTGGTTGTAATTACATGGCCAAATGATATGTTCAAATATGATTTTCTTTGTGATTGGAAGTCATCTGCAAATTTCTTATTTTTGATGGGGACAGGGTTAATTATAGTAAGTCACAAAATACGTTCATGTTTCTCTGTAGTCATTTTCACAGACTGCCATGAATCTTCTTTAAGGACTAGGCAGAGGGATAAGTGGTTGATTAGATCATTTGTGCATCCTGAAGTTGTGATTGCATTGCCTTGTGAAATGCATGGCAGGAGTCAGGAAAGGAGATGTGTACAGTTTTGTGGTCCTTCCTTTAGTGACCTTGACAAATCATTTAACTTCTGCATTTCTGTTTATTATCTAAAAATGGGGATAATTCACCCCACATTTTGAGGTGCGTGGTGTCTGGCACAGTAAGCAGTTAGTTGTAGCTCTTCCAATTAAAAGCAAATATGTATAAATGCTTTTAATAGAATAGTTTTATATTTATATTATATATTTATAATAGAAATTTTAGTTTTATATTTCATTGTTTCTAAAATGTTTTAACCAAAATTCACCTTTAGTTGATTTAGTCCCCAGGGACTAATTTGTTCAAGAAATTTCTGACAGCCAGAATAATTAGAGAGCTGCCAATTATCTTGGGTAGCTTGGACAAATGTAGGACATTTTTGTTATAATTTCACCAAAGGGCATTGATTCAACTCTCAATACATGTTAAATCAACTTTGGTCATTTCATCATTAATGTAAATAATATTCTTCACTTAGGTGGTACATTGAGAATGGTACCTTGAAGAAGGAAAAAAAAAGTTTTCTGTGCACTGTAGAGCCAGTTTGAGTGTTCTTGAGTCTCATTGGTAAGACGTGATTTTGAACTGTAAATGCCTAAGAATGAGAAGTAGCATCAGACATGTAGGTATAACAGTAAACTTGCCACTATTCTGCAGTATTGCCCTCAAGAACATTTCTGTCCCCTGATTCTCCCTCTGCACCACTGTGTAATTCTTGCCCTCATTTCTTTTTTCCTCTCTTGACTCTTCAGTGTTGGTGGTGATGAGGGTTCTGTCCAGGACTCTCTGTGCTCAAACTTGACACACACTCCTTACGTAATGTTGGTAATTGTGTGCATTCAGCTACCACCCGTATGATGGCAGTTCCCGAATCTGTATCTCTAGTACATATCTGACCTCTGTTTAAGACCTGTGTGTCTAGCTACCAACTAGACATTTCCATAAACTTTTCAATTGCATGAATCTAAATTTATTTGTCTCAGCCACAACCACTTTTCCTCTGTCTCTTCTTCCATGGATGGTTCTTTCATCACCCTAGTCTCTTAGGACCTGGAACTATTCCTGAACTTCTTTCTTTTTTTTTGACTAAGTCCAGACATCAAGTCATGTGCATTAGATTACTGTCTAATCTTTACCATTAGATTAATTTCTTATCCTTTATTCCACTATTTCTGATGTAATTGATTGCAACAGTCTCTTGGGTATCTTTCTCTTTCAACCTTTTCTCGAGTCCTATACTTTACAACCAGGTTGGACTATCTGAAGTGCAAGTCTGATATATTACTCCTCTATTTAAAATATCTTTAAACCTCCAAACCCTTCTTCTCATTTGGCCATGTAATTAGAACCGAAACTGAAGATAAGGTGCTAATACATAGATAAAGAATTTAGTGTAGCCATACTGTTAAGTTGACAAAGTCCTCCTCGTCGATCACCACTGAATTGATAACATTTTTAAGTTTTAAAGAATTATGAACCTTTATAGGAGCTCTGGTAGCATAGTGGCTAAGGCACTTGACTGCTCACCAGAAGGCTGGCGGTTCAAACCC